GACCCTTTCACAGGGGTCGCCTAAGACCATCGGAAAACACATATATAATTACATATTGTTTTTGTGATTAATCACTATGCTTTAATTATGTTCAATTTGTAACAATGAAAATACATCCTGCATATCAGATATTTACATTACGATTCATAACAGTAGCAAAATTACAGTTATGAAGTAGCAACGAAAATAATTTTATGGTTGGGGGTCACCACAACATGAGGAACTAACTGTATTAAAGGGTTGTGGCATTAGGAAGGTTGAGAACCACTGCGGGGGGAAGCAGGAACACAGGAATTTAGTAAAGGAAGCTATGAATAAGTTTCTTTTCCAAATTATTTTCTGTGCCTAATAGGTAGGAGCTTTCTTTTAAAACAATGGTTTAAGATGAGTTTCTGATACTAACTTTTCATCATAAGAAACTTGTTAATGTTATTAAAATGCAAAAATTACATAGAGATACATTTACAAACAAAAAATACCCAGAAACAAAATGATTTGGAATTCATTGAAATATTGTAAAAACTGAGAGCTTGACAGCACACATTTACAGTCATCTCAAGAATGGCCCCCCATGTGAGGGAGGAAACCTGTACAGGCAGCTCTGTGAATGCAGCATAATTAGCTTTCTGCGTGACCTATTGAAGTTCCTGTAGAATATCACCTTCCAAATCCAAAGTGATCAGGGGAGCTTCCTACCTCTATCTTTCACGTTTAGTGAACAATCCCTGAGTTACAGGCTTTACTTAATCAAATGCCAATGAATACAGGGACAGGATTTATAGACAATACTGTTCTGCACAAATAATAAAAATCCCAAGCTAAAATTAAGCCCCTTATTCATAAGATATTAAGAACAGTCCCATATAATAAGTGTCTTGCATGAAACTGACTATAGACTCACCATCTAGGAAAAATCTAGTTCAGGTGCTTGCACTAATGACAAAGAATGGGTTGGGTTTTCACATTCTTACCTGATTTCCAATGTGATTGGCAACTACATCTGACAAACTGTTTTTGATATGAAGTAAACCTATGTCTATGGGACATTAAAAGGTCACCACTAAATCCTATCTTAGAATTTTAGACTGACTAGCACCACACTGTATGATTTAAATGTAACCCACCAGACACATCAAACCAATTAACAGTCTATCACTATTTCTCAGAGTAGAATTTTAAAAGTAGTAATAGCTTACTTAATCAAAATAAGAACCCAAGCGAGTAAGAATCATGTATTATGACTACATAAAAGTTTATAGTTTAAAAGTTTATGCTATTGTTACATTGCTAAATATAATTTAAGTTAAACTTGTCAGATTTATATGTCATGAGCACTTGGGACATAATAAAATTCACTGCCTTTATTATATGACTAAACAATTTAAAATCACTCAAATACAAAATTCAATATACAGAACTGGGTAACAAATAATGGCAAATTAAAAAGAAAATTGGGCTGTAAGCCTGAATTCACTTATAGGTAAATTTCTATACAATCATATACTTTATGCCAGTGATCAGAAGTAATGATATAGGTAATCTACATCACTTATTTGCCCAACAGATGTACTGATGTCAATAATAATTTACATTATCTGGTAGCCATTGGACAGCAGAGAATGTGATGCACAGGAGACATTATTCACAAAAT